TAGCCTAATTAAATTACTGAGCGGTTCATTTTTAGAGGCACCAGATTCAGAAAATGACAGTTATCCCRGCAATTATCAGTTGTGTGCACAGATGGCTTTTTCCTCGTTGATAAATCCTCACTCTCCTGTTTGTCCATTTTTAGCACAGAGCGGGTGGGAGGGGTTTTGTGCCTGTCCAGCACGGACCCCGGGGGACAGACTTGCCCAGGTAATTCTCCTTTTCCAGGAGTTGCCACAAAGCTGCATTCCTGGCTGGGGCAAATCTCTGCTCAATTGGATTTTGAAATTTAATTGACTTTGGGAATGCTCTTGGTGGTGGGCTCTGSAGCTCTGCAGAGCAAATCTAATGCTGCAGCTGTACCACCTGTCCTGTGCTAGTGCTAGGGAAAAATGGCTTTTCCTGGCCAGCACCGAGGGTCAGCAAAGCCTGGCTGGGGAATGTGATGGCCGGTTCACAGGGGAGACAGTGGGGAGGGTGCACAAGAGACAGGGAGAGCAAAAACGAGCCACGGAGGTGGCATACCTTGGAAGCAGCGAGCTTAAGACCGAATTCCAAGTGCCCAGAGGTAAAAGCCCCTGCCTTGGGGGGTTTCCACACCATGCCACCGGCCCTTCGCTAATGCTGTCCCCGTGTTCCCGCAGGCCCGCTTCACGGTGGACTGCCATTTCCGGGAGCGTTTCCAGGAGAACAGCTACAACACGTACGCCTCGGCCGTGCACCGCAGCCCTCGCTCGGGCCGCCACTGGTACGTGGCCCTGAACAAGCGCGGCAAAGCCAAGCGGGGCTGCAGCCCCCGCGCCCGGCCCCAGCACGTCTCCACGCACTTCCTGCCCCGCTTCTGGCAGCCGCAGACCCCTGAGCTCGCCTTCACCGTCGCTCTCCCCGACAAGAAGCCCCCGCCGCCCAAGCCCAAGACAGCCCCATCCCCACCTCGCAAGGGCTCTGGCCCCGTCAAGTACCGGCTGAAGTTCCGCTTTGGGTAGCGGCACAATGGGGATGCTGGCCCCGGAGAGACCGGGCACCGGGGAGCTTCGGGAGTGACCCCATGGGAGGCCTGTGTCACCCTCTGCAGAGGGACACGGGGGAGCTCCCAGGTGGCYGTGCCAGGCTCGAGGCCTTCTCTTCACCGCACAAGCCGGGCGGTGTCCCCGGAGCCATGTGCTGGATGGCACAGCTTGGGCGTGCCAAAGAGAATTCCTGTGGTGAACTGAAAACGCTGGATGGACCTCAGGTTAACGTTCTGTTGGTKGAAGAAGTGGAAAGGTACCTCTGTGACGAACATTTACCTACCTTATTTTCACTAGTGACTTCTTTGACAATCATTCTCACACGAGAGAGATGTCCAGAACCGAGCAGTTTTGTTTGTTTTTCTTGCATCTCCTTCTTGCTGCACTTTTTCCTCCGACCATACCTCAGGTACCGTGCGTCCAGGTCTGTCCCTTCCCCTCCTCTTAGGAGCCAACTCTTCCCTTCCCTACTGAAACCGTGAGACCAAGCCCTGCAAATTCAGTCGCCTTATCTGTGGTGTGAGGGGTTCTTCTAACTCCATGTTGGCAATAATAGATGTGTGTATGTATTTTGTAAGGGTTGCAGGTGTGGGGAGGGTGGCTGGTTGCATCTCCGCTCCCGGTGGGTCTCTCCTGTTCTTCCCTGGACAGCTGGAGTCTCTTCTCTGTCCGAGTGTGGATTCGATGCCTGTCTTTAAAATACCTCTGCCCTGGTGCCRGGGCATTCCTGTTCCCTGGTGGAGTCCCTCACACCCCAGCTCCCTGGGGACAGGGATGCCTGTGGCCCCCAGGTACCCACCAGTTTATTCCAACAGGTTTTTGCTGCTGATTTATTTTGTCACTCTCAATATATTTGCAGAGGCAGGGAGCAAGATTTTTGTTTTACAGTGAGCGTGGTGATGTGGCAATAAATGTTTGTCCCTTCGGGAGTATTTTTCCCACCCAGGTTGCCTGACGGCCCTGATGTTGAGTTGTTTCTCCATCGTGGTTCACCTGTGGAGTAATTGTGCACATGGAGTTTGTGATCAGTGTCGAGCGGTGTTGCTGTGCTTACAGGCACCGGTGGCATTGAACCTCACCCGTGAAGCCTTAATAGGAGACCAGGTGGGCTCAAGTTGGCAGGACCCCTGGGGACCTGAGCCCTCCCAGTGTCCGGCAGCAATAATGAGCCTCCTCTCAGCACCTGGTTGTGCTACAGACAGACATTTCCTTTGGAATAGTGGTTCTTCGTCACCCTTCTGGCAGCCCCCGGCCAGACACGCATGCTCCGTGTGTGGGGACGGATGGGGATGCTGGAATAAAACAGCTATGTTTCATTTTATAACTTGGTTGTGTGATCTCTTGTCATGTTCGTGCCTTCCTTTCCTCCCCTGAAGTTCAAAGGTGAGTGCTGCTGATTGGGCTGCTCTGCATGTTCCTGTCCTCTCCATGTCCTGGCAGGGCCAGGCTTGGCTGGCGCAGGGTCGATGATGGGGCGGAGGGAGCACAAGGAGTGCCCCAAACCACCGTGATCCCCAAATGGTGTCCCGGGATGTCCCTCCTGCTGGCTCCTCTGGGGCAGGTGGTGGGGCCCGGGTCACACTGGCTCAGGTGAACAGGGGTGTCCTGTGCACCCCATCCTTCTCCTCAGACTGCCTGGCTGCACACAGACAAAATCCAAACTCTCCCTGTGAGGTGCAAGCAGATGTAATTCATTTGCGCTCCACTCATCTTGGTGAACTAATCAGAACCTTTGCAGGTGCTGCCCCAGCCCAGGCAGGTGTGTGGAGCTCCCCAAGCAGGTAAGGCAGGAGCAAACGTGCTGGTTTGGCTGCCACTGCATCCCCACAGAGCAAAAAGGTATTGGTTTCATCTTTTGTATCAGAAAACTCTTACGGGGAAAAGAGAAAAAAAAAATCTGATGTGCTATTGCGGTAATAGTGAAAATACAGTCATGCTATTGCAACAGAGAGGTCTGTGCTAGGGAGGGAGGTTTGCTTAGCAGGAGGGGAGTGGAGGCCTTCGAATATGGTAAATATTTTAAATTTAAAATTTACATTAATTTTTTTTTTCTTTTAATTTTTAACCACCTGAGCGGTACTGTTGCAGTGCTAGGGAGAGCAAGCTGGAAACCCAAGAAGCTCAAGAGGATTCCCAAATTGCTGTCCAGACAATTGCCACTTTCAGATGAGAGGCACAAATCCCTGTGGAGCTGAGGAAAAGGATGCAGAGAGTCCAGCAGAGTGCAGAGAGGCCACTGTCTCCCTGCTCCCTGTTTCTGCAGACATTGGTTGACATTCTGAGAGGAATAAAGCCTTCCCATCCTTTTTTTCTCTCTTTCACCCCTGCCAGGGGCCTACGTCATGTTCCAGACCCCTCAAAAGGATTTGTGAGTGTCCTTCACTCCCGAATGCGCAGCTTGGAAGGAAGATGCTTTAGGTGCATCCTTGGGCGCTTTAGCAGGAGCGAGAGGAAGAGGATTTTGGGTGGAGCGGTCGAGCTGGGGCAGGTAAAGAAAATAAAAACGAATAAATCTAAGAGTAGAACGGTCCCTTACGGTGCCTCGAGGGGCTGCGGGAGAGCTGGGGGGCGGCGGTGGCAGGGGCACAGTGTGCGCAGCGCCCCAAAAGGAGCCCCAAAGATCCCCCCATGCCGCTCGCTCCCGCCCATCGCTGGGCASGGGGCTTGCAGAGGAGCCGCGGGCACGGCCGGGCGCGCAGGTGAGCGTGGCTCCGGTGGGACGGGGCTGGAGCTCGGCTGCGGGGCGGGGCCGGGCTCGCCGAGCAGCGCTCGGTGCCCGCTCCGTGCGGGGCCCGGTCGGTATGTCCCCCTTTCCTTGMGGAACGAAGCGTCCGGGAGCTTCGCCCGTCCCCGGGAGCCACGGAGGGAGGCGGCGCGGAGCTCGCGTCCCCGGTGTCTCGGCGGTGGCAGGAGCCGGCAGCCGCAGCCTCGGGCACGCGTGGCGGTGGGGACGGCTCCAAGGGGCAGCGGCTCCCCCCAGGTGAGTGCCCACCTGCCCGCGGGCTTGGGTTACCTGCGCCAGCCTTCCCAAGCTGTGGCCCCGACATGCCTGTTTTCCGGGCTGCGGGCTCCGGGGACTGTCGGRTGCGGGACAGGGAGCGCAGGCACGGGAAAGGGGTGGCGCGGGAGAAGGAAGGTGGCTGCTTCGCTGAGGATGTTGGTGCATRGGGGCTGGTCCTTCCCGGGGAACGTCTCACTCTGGGTGTTGTCACGAGGGATTTGAAACTTTTTGTGGAATGCGTTACTATGGATTTTTATACTTTTAGGGAATGTATTACCACGGGTTTTGATACTTTTTGTGSAATGTATTACCGAGGATTTTGTTACAAGGTGAATGGTCCTTCCTCCTGAATTTTTACCGCGGGTGTTGTAAGGATGTATCCCAGCTCCTTTATCCGGGATGTTTTATTGCGTTTCGAAAAGCCTTTGAGCTTTGCGTTGATGCGCTCCCCAGCAGTCTCTGGCGACGGCTGTTTAGGCAGAAATTATGCGATTTTTGGTTTTAGGCTTCGTTTTTGAGCTCTGCCTTCTCACATTTGTTGCAGTCAGAACACTGACCCTGCCTCGGGAATGCTCGGYTTTGCAGTCCTATTTTGTTGTATCTCTCTCCTGTGCCCCTCCTCCTCTGATCCTTTCTTTACATGTGTGGGCTCAAAAACACCTGGCTCTACTGGATGGCTTTTTACATATAGGAATTCAGATTCTCAGCAAACTGATCAGGTCTAATAAAACATGTTCTGTTTACAAAGCACAAGGAGAGAGTAGGTGTTTTGGCACACTTTTTGGTAGTAGGTCCTGTGCTTTGTTTCTGCTGTTTTTTCTTTAGTCTGCTTTTAGGCAGATCCCTAAACTGGAAAATTAAAAGTGAGGGGGGAAAAAATGTTGCTTTTAATTTGTTTAAGTGTTGCTATGGATTTCGGTGTGTGAGGTTGATAACACCAAAATACAATAGGAATAATTGAGCTTCAGGACTGTGCACTTAACTCTTTCAATGGGTCTCAGTGAGTGCAAGTGTAAGAAACACCAGATCCCAAAGTGGTTCTGTGTCCCTAAGGTGAAGTACTTTACAACCAAATCTTGGATGCGGGGTGACAGAATTCCTGACTGTCACAGAAATGGGGGAAGTTGTGCGTGCTCTTCCAGGCAAACCCAGATGTGATGTGGGATGCCCAACTGAGGATTTCCAGCCTTGTCTCCCCAGGCCATGCCACTGGCTTTTGAAAAAGCTTCGTGCCTGTCCCATAGGTATTGGTATTAAATTGGGAGGGGGACGTCTTTATATCTGGGGACCACTCAGCTCACTGGGCCTGGGAGTTATCCTGAAGTAGCACATCTCAGCCTTTTTTTTTCATAAATCCAAGTGTTCTATCCTTAACATTCCTAGAACAATATCAAGTATTTAAGAGGCTTAGGTGTGTTTGGTTAACTTTGTACTCTGGGCAGTGGATTTATTAGAATGGCAGAAAGGTTTCTGTAGATGTGTTAAAAATAATCAATATCACGTAGGAGTTAATTGGTCTTTTTTTTTTTTTTTTGTTGTTGTTGTTGTTTGGGGGCAAAATGAATCAAATGGGTTTAAGTATTTCCTTTACAGAAGGGTGGATTATTATTCTCCTATGAATCCTCAATCAGATGAAACTGGAATCTGGGGAGTTGATTTGCCTGTGCATTCCTGCAGTTCGTGGTCTGCTGGATAAGGTTTCTTCTTGGACAAGATAGCTATTAGACCAGTGTGAACTCTGGCTAAGATGAGCTAAATAGGGGAGTGGAAGGCACCAGGCTGCTCTCCTCGGGCACAGGGATGGCAGCAGGTGCCCACTCTCAGTTCTCCTTTCTTACCCTGCTTGGAGTGGCACAAGGGTAGGTAATTGCTTTCCAAATTGCTCAGATCACAGAACTCTTTTATTATGCATTTGTGACCTGAGTTCTGAAAGGAGAGGACCTTGCAGGACTGTGACAGGATGTGTGGGGCTCGGAGTCTGGTTTATCACAGTCTCTTCTGAAGTATTTTATTTCCTGTTAAGGCCTTTCAAGAATGCTCAAATATCCTTCAGTTGAGTCCGTGCCCTCAGTCGGTATGGCAAAACAGTGTTTGGCAGAACCAGGGTGCTACTGTGCAATTTTAAAGGCGGTGTGCGATTTTCCCCTTGAACTTTTCCACCTTATCTGATGTTCCACATCTCTGTGCAGTGACACAAGGCTTTGTCCCTGCACACGCAAGGCTGAAATTTCTCATTGCTCTCCCGAGAACATTTTGCCACTGAGATGCTTCTTCATTCGGTTTTCCCTGCACGTGATTTGTTCTGGTTTAAGCTTTCTTTGGGGCTGCACAGAATAACATCAGGTTACAATGCAGCCAGAGTTTTTAACCCACCCCAGCAGGGCTCTTGCAAGGGCTCATGGACACACGTCCTGTTGCCGTGTCAGTCATCTCAGGAAGGTACCAGCTGCTCCCATTTCCCTTGGAGTCTTTCATAACTTGTGATCTGTGTCACATTGTGTGGTATTTTTTGTTTCGGTTTTGTTTTTCTCGATGAAATCAAAGCAGTGGGTGTGGCACGTGAAAGATTGAAGAGGCTTTAGCAAAAGCTGGAGACCGCTGTCTGGTGTTTCAGTCAGGGCATCTGAGCTGTGCACTGTGAGTGCAGAAAGGAAGGCAAGGTGCAGGATTATGATTTGCAAAGCAATTCAATAATGTCTGTGTTGGATTGCACCTTTTATCGTTCTTAAACTAATTAAATACTTCTGAAAGGCAGCACAGGTCTTGTACCGCCTTTATTTTTACAAATCTCTCATCTGGAAGTAATTCAAATGGTTTTGATTTAAAACTGCCTGAAACCTATCTAAACCCAGTGTTCAATAGGTTTTGCCCTCTCTAGCAAGGTGTTCAGGCACAGGTTTTTCTATTGCTGTGTCAGTGCAGTGGCAGAGGTGCAGGTCCAAGCTGACAGTGTGCAGCTGCTGCTCATTCTTGGGTGCAGAGTGGTGCTTTTTGGGCAGAGGGTGCCCCTCGGCCCACGGAGCTTGTTTGAACCTTGTCCTCTTTGTTGTGAAGTTCCAGGGTGGGGGAGGAATTTGTCTCGTTGCTGTACTAGGGGGTGGAATGCAGAAGGTTCCTACAGCACTGATACAGAAGTTGGAATGTTCAAGGATAYCGGTGTGAGGGCTCTCAGGGACGAACCTTGCTCCCAAGTATTTCAGTATTTCACTGGAACTGGGGCTGGAGCAGTGACGGGGGTGCGTGGGTTTGGCCTGGGCCTGTCAGGATTTGCCATAAATTACCCCACAGAAACCCTGAGCCCTCACGGGGTGTGAGAAACACTTACAGAGAAAGCCAAGGCAGCAATGATTTCGGAGGAGAATTACAAGTGATGGCTTATGATCTGTGGGGACTTTCCTCGGGAATTACCAACCAGAGTGTGTAATAAAGCAGAGCACATCTTTTGGTTCTTGTTTCTGATCTGTCATCTTCTCTCTGGCTTGAATAAGTTTTGTGTGCCCTTGTTAAGGAAGCAGCCCATTTTTACCTGGAATTCTGGAGCGGGGCTTGAACAGTCCCTGTTGCCCTGCATTACTGCTTTGGGTTTGGGTCAGACAAGGAGAAAGGAAATCACTTTTTGTTATCCTGAAGTTTTCCATCCAGGCCTGTGGGAGCAGCTCAGTGCTGGCACAGAGAAATAACAATGTTTGGGAGGTTTGAGCATTAATAACCACTCTATTGTGTCTCAATGGCAAAGATTTGGTCCTGCAGTCCCAAATTGATGAGGGGGGAAAGGAACTTGTCTTATTCGTGGAAAAGCTTCCGTTATTCCTTGTGCACCGTTTCAGTCCTGTGCTCTGATTGGCTGTCTGGTGTCTTTCCAACAAAAGCTGTTTGAAATTGAGATGAAGCATCAGAATTTGGGACTGTTCACCACAAACTCTTGCCAAGCCTGAAGGGCTGGTGTGCTGACTGCTCTCACCAAAGGTTCTTTATTAACTTTACGTCAGCTTTCCCTCAGCTCTGGGCAGGAAACCTCTGGGACCGTGTTGTAGGTCAGACCTGGGGCTGTGTGTGACACCAATCCAGGTCAGGCCCACGTTTCCCTCTTGCTGTGGGGTTTGGGCCCCGAGTTGAAGCAGGATCAGGGTGACAGAYGCACMGTTTTGTGCACCCTGAGCGTTTCTATCCCCCCGTGGAGATTTCCTGGTGGGATGAGGCACTGCAGGGAGCCCGCACCTCCCATGGGCAGTGTTGGCCTTTGTCGCTCTGTTGTGCTGTCAGATGGTGGGAATTTGCTGCTGTCACTGTCACTGCCACCCCAGCTGGGGCTGTGTCCTGCTGCCAGCCATTCCCAGTGGTGCCTTGGTGCTGTGTGGAAGGGTTTGCCAGGAATGTGCCTCATCCTTGGGAATTTCCTTTTGTTCCACAGCTGCCAGGTGCAGTGCTGGGGACATTTTGGGCTCGTTGGCTTCAGAGTTAGATTGGAAAAGTCACTGAAACAAGAAATGAAAGTCCAGTTTGTCAAAGCAGTGCTTTCTAACCCCTCTCTGAGCAATTCTTTGATTTTTCCTGGAGAAAACGGCAAGGCAGGGACGGTCGGCAAAGGAGCCGAGGGGTATGTTTGGAGAAGAGAATGCTGAGAGCTGCATCTCCCTGTGCTCTTGTGCCTACACCAGGGAAGAGCACGCCATGCAAAGTCTTATTTTCCAGTGCTTTCACCTCGAAAAGCTCTTCCTGGGAGACGGGGAGCAGATASGTATTTCTCAGGTGCTCAGACTGGACCGGGAGCCTATTTTTTTCCAGAGAAAATCCGTGAGCGCGGCTATGAAGGGTTGGATGGGAACTAGGAAGCCGTGTTCTGATATTTGTGGGTGTATTTCCTTCTTTGGCGCACTCCCCGGGTTTAGGGGCCGGGCGTTTGTCCGGTGTCCCCGCSGCAGGGCAGCGCTGTCCCCTCGGCGCGGAMCGATGGGCGGTACTGCCGCCAGCAGCGGCGCATGCGCAGTGCAGCGAACGGCGCAGTGAGACCCCTGCCGACCGATTGCCGGTACTGCAACGGTGGGGCTGCGCCTGCGCACTGGCAACAAAGAAGCACCGCGTCACGTGGTCTTTGAGGGCAACCCGGAAACGGCAGTGCGCATGCGCAGCCGTGTTAAGACGGCCGTAATCACGTGATGTGTAAGGGCGGGGATTTGCGCGGCGTCGCGCATGCGCAGTGTCGTTTGAGGGCGGAGTGCTGCCGCCCTGTGGGGAGCATCTGGTATTACAGGGTGGGAGTCCGCCCCCGCCGTGTCCGCGCCCAGCCCTGAGGGGCTSCGCTGCCCGGAGCTCGGGGCTGCGGCGCCGCTGGGGCCGTGCCCGGGTGCAGCGTGGGAGCACGAGACGCGGGTCCCGCCGGCGGCAGCGGCGGTTCAGGGGCTTGGCGAGACAATCGAGAAGCCGGGCGGTTGCTGTGGCTGCAGGCGGGTTGAACGTGAGCGGGGATCGGCGGGGCCTGGGAAAAGGCCCGGAGGGTTGGGGAGGAAGCGGCGGGTGGGGCGCGCTCCGGAACGGGCAGCGGGGGCTGCGCTGGGCTGGCACGGCACGGCACGGGCAGGAGCCGTGGGGCTGGAGCTCTGGCTTGCGGCCTAAACGGCGGGGCCGCTCGGCACAGCCTTTTCTGAGAAACGAACGCTGGGGTTTGTCCCAGCCCAGTCTCGTGCCGCAGGGCAGCGCCTGAGCAGGTGGGGAGGGCGTAGGGAAAATGCGGCTGGGGCTGCAGGCAGAGCTTAGGGGTTTCTTTTATTTAAACGAGCGTGCAAAGCAGGGAGTGAGGTGATGCGGAAGCGCTGCCTGTGCTCGGGCAGGTGAGCCAGGACTCGGGGGAGGGAGTGGCTTTCCTGCGCTTCTGAAGTTCCAGTTGGCTCTCTTAGGAGCAGTCGGAGAAGTTTTCCTTTCGGAGCTGGGCTCCGAAAAGAAGGAATCTGAAATAACTGCTTTTGATATATATCTAAGCATGGGAGGCTGTATCAAGCTCGCTGCTGTTACTAGCCAGTAACTTCCAGTGACGTTTTAACTATTAAACAATGGTGACTTTTATTTTCTCTGTCCACAAACCACTTGGCTTTCCCGTGTAAGGAGACTGTGAATGGCAGTCCAGAGCATCCTGGTGCTTGGGGCTGCAGTGTTGGGTGCGTGGAAAACATCGTGGTCTGCCTGACCTGGGTTTGCATGTGCATTTCCAGAGTTACTCAGACTGGGAAAAAGCCCAGGAACGTGATGCACAGGGCTTTCTCCCACACTGGGACAGCTTCAAGGCAGGGATGTTATTTAAATATCTCTTGTCTTTGCTTTCCCAGCCCAGTGTTAGGTTGGTGCTCCCTGAAAGGGATGTGGAGCGAAGCGGTCTCTGTTAGGAGAGTGGGAGAAAGGGACATGTCTGGTTGGTGTGTCCTGGGTGGACAGAAATCTGATACTGACAATGTGGCTTTGTGAGTATTTCATCAGTCCAGCGGTGCCAACACATCTCAGATGCCGGTTGTTCAGGGCAAAGGGGACCAGGGGTGACAGATGCTGGCACTGCTTGCTCAGTCACAGCTGGCAATGAGCAACTGGACCTCCCCCAAGGCTGCATTGGGTGTGGATTTGGGTCTTGTCTGGCATCCGGTCTGTGCAGCAGGCGCACACTGGGCAGGTTTGGGGCCTGGAGCATCCCAGCCTTATAGTTTCTTGTCACTGTCTCCTTTCAGAGGAAACGTGTCCTTGCTTGGCAGGTGGTTCCTTGCAAACAGCAGAGCTCAGTGGTTGCGTGACCCAGTGTCAGTGTCAGCACAGCCCCCTTTGCCAGCCCAAGGGTGGGATGCGCAGAGCTGGGTCATCCAGTTGCGGGATCTGGGAGGATGCCGCTCCTCTTTTCAAGGAGCCAAGAGATGGGGGTGCTGCAGCTGGAGGGAGTGTTTTCCGGGCAGAGACCGAGGTACCTGGTGTGGGGTAGAAATGGCACTTTTTAGTTTGTTTCTGTTCAAAGCCAGCAGTGGCAGCAGGTGCAAGGTCAGCACGGGGAAGTTGAGGCAGGAACCAGGAACTGTTGGTCTCTGGGCCTCCCTGGGCAGCTTTAGCAACGTATAGGATTCATTTGTTTAGGTGTACTCTGGAGAATAATGTATTAAAGTGGTTCAAGTTTCTATTGGTATTGATGCCTAAAATTCAGCTTACGTAAAACAGAGGCCAGACAAAATGCAGAGAATCAAAAGCAGTTCTTTTTATTTAAGGGCCTTGAGGGACATTCAGGGCAGTCCCAGCCCACCCAGGGGCTGCASCCACAATGGACAATGGCTCATGGGTTTTCCACGCTTTAAAGGTTTTGTCCATTTGCATTTTAGGGGTTAATTCTCCAATTCCAGCTGCAGCCAATGAAGTCATTGACTCCAAGTTGGCTTCCCCCCAGTTCTCTGTTGTTTCTATGTCTTGGGGCCTGGCACAGTGAGGTGTCCTTAAATTTGGGGCCTGGAGAGAAATAGTGTTCTCTAAAAATGGGAGAGCAAGAGTGAGCACTGTAGACTACAGAACCACAGAAATAAGGATACATGGAAAATACAGAATCTAAAATGCTAAGGTATCAGTATACTGAATGTCRGTTGTTATTGCATACATGGGAAGTCTGGCCCTGCTTGTGGAGATGCAGAAAAAAAGAACTTGGGTTGCTTTGCATACACGATGGGAAATTCACATTAATAGAGGTTTCCTTTGGAAAAACTGTTATTATATTGTAGGTCTGCATGTGTGCTAAGTGTCAGAGAATGGTTTGAGGGGGAAAAAAGCAGAACAGGAAATAAAAAAATCAGCTCCAATAGGCTGAGGACCATCCCCTGATTTTTACAGAMAACTTAGTGAACCAAAGCCTGTAGCTATGATTCCAAATAAGTGTTGTACCTTTTCTTCTTAAGGTCACTGGGAAGAGTGAGACAAGACCGGACTGATAACTTCTTGCAGGCCATAGCGGGGAGAGGAGCAGCACAATCTGGAAGAATATCCATGAGTACCCGTGAGATTTTGATTTAAAGTTTTAAAATTAATCTAAAAAGAAAAAAAAAAACCCATTATTTGAAAGAAAACCTCAGGTGGAACATGAGAGAGTATCTGATGATTGATTTCCTGGATGGTAGAAATATGTTYCTGTTAGGTTTTTATCTAAGGAAAGCATCTGCAGACACTGCACAGAAGGCTGCGAGAGTTCCTGAGGAGCTGACAACGCCCCTGGGATCGCTGCTGCCTCATCTGCCACTCTCACACTTTGCAGGCTGTTGTCTCAGGATGGTTTGGCTGAAGTTAAAATTGCCCCTTTGCACAGAGCTGGATCAATATTGTTCAGTTCAAAAGGAGGCATGTCATGTGTACTTGGCTTCCTAACAGCTTTAGTTGTGCCCAGGAAAAAGCGTCGTGTTCTTGCTGTTGTGTTTACCTGCAATAGTGCTTTTGGTGCCTTTTTCAAGGAGCAGCTGGAATCTGGATTTCTCTCTCTCTCTCTCTCTCTCTCTCGTGGCCCTTGGGCAAAATGAGAATAGTGAAGGTGCCTGCAAAGGCCCATCTGGGTGCTTTGGAGGTCAAGAGTGGTTGTGCCTTTATACCCGGGTTTTGGTTGGGACATTGAGCACATGTACCCTGCTGTTTTTTTTAATTTCCTTTGGCTCTTGTGCTTCAAACAGAAGTGTCATTCCCTTCTGTCCCTTCCATACTTTGAGGGTCAGCATTTATTCTGTTGTGGCTGGCTAATGAGCAGAGGAAATGCTGCCTGAAGAGTGGTTCCACAGCATACATGAGCAAGCTTTCTCATGCGCTTCAAACAGCTCCTGCTATTGGAGGCAAACAGAGGCTTATTTCAAAAGCTCTTCAAAGGAAAATGTTAAGTGCTTCTGTGTCTTCCACCTATTTCAGTTAAACCTTTTCCTGTAACTAAGGCCAGACATAATGGCACTGGGTCCCGTCACATACCAACCCCTCAACCTCATACTGAGGCTTCGTCCTTGCACTGGCAGAGCCGATTAGGTCCCCCCAGAAGTCTCTGGCAAAGCCAATTCAAGCAGTGGTTTTGCAGTTTTTAGCTTTAGGCTTCTTTTGGGAGCTCTGCGTGTTCTCACGCTTGTTCCCGTGTGTGCTTTTCATAAGCAGTGACTTAACTTTGGGGATGTGTTGCTTTGCAGTCACACTTTATTGTATCTCATTTCTGTTTCCCTGCATGTTTTATTCTTGCCCTTTCCCCATTGCGTTTCACTGCTGTGTACATCTTGAAACACGTTGCTGTGTGCTTTTCTGTCCTCTTGATGAAAATAAATTAATAAATATGAAAACTAGACACTGTCTGTGGGGGAGGATTTACTCTAAGGAGCCAAAAACTACTTTTAAAGTATTTGCAGTGTCAGTTTGATTGGTGAGTAGTAGCACCTGTGCGCCAAGAGCACAGCTGCTGTGAATTACCACTGTTGCCGTAGCTCACGTACATTCCTGTTTCAAGCTTCGAGTTGAGGCGTAAATTGATTTTAGTGGTAGGAGTAGCTGTTAATAGAAGCACAGAACAGCTGGGGAGGGCCGGGGGCGTGGCTGGCGGGCCGGTGTCAATACAAGGAGCGGGTGGGTGTTACCGAGTGCCAGCTGCGGGAGGCGGYGCCGGCGGGCCCGTGCCGTAGGAGCGGGCGGTTGGCCCGGGGGCGGGGACTATGAGTGACACCGTGGGACGGCCCCGGTTGGCGGGAGGGGCGTGGGCGGGAGTGGCTCCCCGCGGGGCGGGGCGGGGCGAGGCGGCCGTGCCGGGGCTTGCGGTGCCGTCGGGGTTCGCCGAGGAGCTGCGCTGACGGGCACGACCCCGGCCCGTTCCCGGGGGTCCCACAGCAGGCCCGGGCCCGGCTCCGCCCGCTCCTGGGGGAACCGGGGCTCGCGGCCGCGGCTGCCGCGCGCACCCCGGAGGGGCGGGGCCTGGTGCCGCTGGCCAATCACCGCTGCGAGCGGCGCGCGGCAACGGCCAATGGCGAGGCAGGGCGGAAAACTTGAGCGCGCCGGTAGCGGGAGCCGCCCCTCTCCTGGTTCGTCTGAGGGGTGTCCGCGACCGCCGGCCGGTTCTGGGTGGAAATGGCGCTTTTTGGTGCGTCTTTGTTCAAAGCCGGGAGCGGCGGGATGTGCGCGGAAGCAGGTGCGAGGTGAGGGCGTGGAAGAGGCGGCAGGAACCGGGAGCTGTTGGTCTCTGGGCTTGGTGGTGTCTGGGTCTCCCTGGGTGGGTCTAGGAATTTGTAGGAGTTAATTTGTTCAGGTGTTGTGTGAAGAATAAAGTGCTACATCTGTTCGAGTTTCTATTGGTATACTGAACATTTGGTGTTGTTGCGTACATRGAAACTCTGGCCCTGCTTGTGGAGATAAAATAAGCCGTTCGAGTGTTCTGGGTACTTAACAGAAAACACACTTTAGCAGAAACTACCTTTGGGGAACCTGGTGTTATATTGTAGGTCTGTAGAAGTGTTAAGTATCAAAGAATGGCACGAGGGTTTGAAAAAGCAGAGCAGGGAATAGACAAATCAGCTGCAATAGGCCGAGGACTGTCTCCCTATAGTTATAGAACCTTTAGCCCAACAGCAAACACGAAACCTGTGGAAACGATTCTTAATAAGAGTTGTATCTTTTTTTCTCAGGGTCACTGGGAAGCGTGGGACAATACCTGAACGATAAMTTCGTGTAGCCCGCAGCAGGGAGAGGAGCAGCACATTCTGTTGGATGAGTTCCCGTGAGTACCTATGAGGTTATGATCTTTACAGCTTCACAAGGAATCTGAAAAGGGAAATGTTATTTGAAGGAAAATCTCAGGTGGAACAACTGAGAAACATTATTTGATGAGTGATGTCTTGGATGGTAGAAATATGTTCCTGTTAGGTTTTTATCTAAGGAAAGCATCTGCAGACACTGCACAGAAGGCTGCGAGAGTTCCTGAGGAGCTGACAACGCCCCTGGGATGCTGCTGCCTCATCTGCCACTCTCACACTTTGCAGGCTGTTGTCTCAGGATGGTTTGGCTGAAGTTAAAATTGCCCCTTTGCACAGAGCTGGATCAATATTGTTCAGTTCAAAAGGAGGCATGTCATGTGTTCTTGGCTTCCTAACAGCTTTAGTTGTGCCCAGGAAAAAGCKTCGTGTTCTTGCTGTTGTGTTTACCTGCAATAGTGCTTTTGGTGCCTTTTTCAAGGAGCAGCTGGAATCTGGATTTCTCTCTCTCTCTCTCTCTCTCTCTCTCTCGTGGCCCTTGGGCAAAATGAGAATAGTGAAGGTGCCTGCAAAGGCCCATCTGGGTGCTTTGGAGGTCAAGAGTGGTTGTGCCTTTATACCCTGGTTTTGGTTGGGACATTGAGCACATGTACCCTGCTGTTTTTTTTAATTTCCTTTGGCTCTTGTGCTTCAAACAGAAGTGTCATTCCCTTCTGTCCCTTCCATACTTTGAGGGTCAGCATTTATTCTGTTGTGGCTGGCTAATGAGCAGAGGAATGGTCAGAGGAAATGCTGCCTGAAGTGTRGTTCCACTGCACATGTGAGCAAGCTTTTTCTTGAACTTCAAACAGGTTGTGGTTTCTGCTGCCCATCAAGTATCTTGGGAACTGCCCTATTTGGGATATTTAGGGAGAATTCAACACAAWATGTTAAATCTGTGCCTGAACTGAGAGAGGACAGAACTCTGTTGTGATGGTTTAGTCTCGAAAATGAACGCACTCTTTGGCTTATTTCCTATATTTAGCACAGTGTTAATCAAAAGGTAAAATAGCCTTTGGCAGCTGTATCTCGTGACTCCTTTGGTTCCCTCTGGCCGGAGTTCCCTGAGCTCCTTGGAAACGGGCTGCAATTTTCTCCGTGTCCAGCCGGGGTCAGCATTGCTTTAGGCAGAACCTTTCCGGACAGGGAGGGGCTGTCAGTGCATGCATGAGCTRTGTCTGGCTGTGAGCAAGGGCAGCACACCTCAATTTTTATAACCTAAAAAGGTAATTTTCTATAACTTGTATTAATCCAAAAGGGTTTTGCGGTAACTTTTTTTCAGTTTATTTCTGTTTTCTGTTCTCTGAGGCATGTCTGTGATACGTGGGGTTCCCTGCTATTGTGCTGTGTCTGTCCTTTTAGTGCTGTCACAGAAAGTGTCCAAACATGCAGCAGGAAGCAACCCAGCTGTGCTAAGCTGAACTTGGACTTGGAAAGTTCTAGTAAGATTTTAGTGCTCTGCCTCACAAGTTGTGTGTGGGGTTCTAAGAAATGAAGGTAGAYAGAGTTATGAGCTAGGCCACAGATTAAAATCCAGTATAAACTGTGTGTTCCCCCTCACAATCAAGACAGCGGCTCTCAGTTCCCAGGCTTCCTGCAGTGATGCTGTTTGTGGGCCCCCAAAGCAGGCTCCAGTTAGGTATCAAAAGCTTTTGGAAGTCAGGGTTATCACAAACTATTCACTACATACCTAGATATAATGAAGTGCATTAGGTGTGTAATTCCAGCCTCAACTCTGATTCTCCTGTAGTTTACTGGTTTACAGGAGACCCCATAATGTATTCTTAATACACTGCAATGTGGAAAGAAATTTCAGCTGGTGCTTCACAAGTCATTATTGTCTGTGGTTAAAAAGACATAAAAGACTTTTTTTCTCTATTGTGTACCTACTGAACAAACAGAGAGCAGGTATTTCCTGTGGAATTATGGGGTTTTTAATGTGGCCAGTGCCCTGTGTATCAGCAGCAGGGCCACAGGCAGTTCCATATGGCTCTAGGGGCTGGTGGGTGCAGAGGAGCCTGCCATGGGGATGGGGATATTCCCTCCGGCTCTGCTGAGCTGTGTCAGTGCTCTCACCTGCTCTTGCCCGGGGGAGCATTGGTACATCTGGACCCTGAGCAACCAACCTCTGCCAGAAGGTGGATTTCTCTGTCTTTTCTGGATGTATAGCCAGCCTATCCTTTTGCAAGAAGCTCAACCCCATCAACAGTAGCTGGGGTTGCTCTTTCCTTGCTTTTCTTCTAGGTTTTTGCACACCACCTCTATGGCAGCTTGGTCTGGGAGGTTCATTCTCTAAAGTGAACCTATTGTGATAGAAGCATTGCATAAATTCACTTGTTACCTAGTTTGGTTCCAAACTTGATCCCGAAAAGCCCATGTGAGAAATCAGATTTAGGAGGTTGAATTCACCTGAAAGCCAGAACAAGTCTTGTGACCAGAGGAACTCAGCAGGCAGACAGGTCTTGACTTCTTTACACAGGTGTATGTTTACCCTGTCTAGCCCTAACCTCTCCTCTGGTATGCATTAAATATTATTTGTTTATTCAAGGTGATAAAAGGCCCTGTGGGTGTTAGTGCTGGTATCGACAAAAGCCCTCAGAAATTATGCAATACTCGGCAACTCTTTTCCTATGTCCCAAAGCAAGTCTCCCACCAACTCTGATGATGGTTTGGGAGGGGCTTGATGTAGTGGGCCAGAGAGGAACACTCCAGCCCCACTGATGTGGCTGAGGACCCTGTAAGCTTRGACAACGCTTCCATGGCGACCGGAGCAAGTTCTACCTGTGTTTCTGTGGGTAGTAGTGCAGCCAACAAAAGTGTTTAGGCACTTCAAATGATTACGTGGAGTCTGTTGGTAGAAATTAGGGAATTTATAAGCTGAGGATTCATACTTTCTCTGCTATTTCACTGATTGGGGGAGAGAGGGAAGTTTTCCACCAACAAAACCAAAACACAAAACATATAAAAAACCCAAAAACCTGATGTTGATGTTCTCAGTTGTGTGAGAGCTACAACCAGATCATCAGCTGAAACCCATGCCTGGGACAATGGAACTTGTTGATTTTTTTCTGCCTCTGAGTATTGGCTGTGCAGGCAGTTGGAGGATCCTTTTGGGTTTCAAATGTGTGTTCCTGAAGCTGGGTATGAGCACTGATAACAGGTTCCCCTAAAGCCTCCCATGGCAGCTGCTGCAGGTGGCTTGGGGAAGCTTTCTGATGGASCCGTTTCACTTATGGGAACGAGGCTGAAGATGGTGTTGGATCTGACCAGCACTGCCCTTTGACGTGATTTCTTTCCCGTTTACTCTTTCCCAATATCCCCAAAGGTTTTCCAATCAAGAAAGAGGGAGTATTATAGAAATATTTATTTCTTTTAAATTAAGCCATTTCTGTCTGTTTAATGAATTTCTATGGAAATTGCATGAGTCATGCAGGGATTGTAAGTTAGTTTCAAATGTTTCTGCCCTTGAAATACAAAAAAATCTATGAGGTTCTGTGTTATTGGACAGTGTGCTGTGACAGAGACTGCCTTCCCTCGTCGCAGATGTCAGATTTCAGTTTGAGCTCTTGAA